TTTCTAAACTGAGCTTTTTGCTGATCAATTGCTTTAATATCATTTTCCCTGTTTATTTTCTTTCTATACTTCTGGATGGAGTTATTATTGTCATTTCTTTTCCTTCTATATGCAGCTTTGAGGCGACACGCCAGATTAGGCTGATGGAGAGCCAGGTGAATGAGCAAATGAAAAGTGAATCAGCAGTTGAAAACGTAAAAGGGGGTGAGTGGCACATGCCAATATTAGCAATGACGGCAGACGTGATTCACGCGACCTATGACGAATGCCTCAAATGTGGGATGGACGGGTATGTCTCAAAGCCCTTTGACGAAGAGAATCTTTACCAGGCAGTTGCCAAATTCTTTATAACCAAACCCGTCTAGGACTTGAAAACTTAGAGTGTCTGGTGAATTCATGGATGTCGCAACTCGGACGTTGCAGTGGACAAAAGTGACCAGCGATTTTGGATTCTGCTGGTTGGTTTTTCATGTCGAGAATGGGCCCACTCAAAAATGCCGGCACTGGTAAATTGTTCTGACCTGACTCAAATCATTATTTAACTAGAGTAGAATGAATCGGAGTATTTGTATACTACCATAGAACATCCAGCCCTGCTTGTCTGTATAGATCTTGAGGAGGGGAGAGGATTCCAAAAGGTGTATATTTTCATCGTCGTAAAATCTTGTATGTTTTTCTCAGAAAGCTCTGAACCACTTAATACAATCTAGAAATGTTCTTTTCTTGTTTTCCTTCATTAAAGATGTGATACACTTGTCATTATCACGGTTTCAAGGTCTCGAATCTTTGTTTACACATTGGTTTACATTTGACATTTGACTTACCGGGTCTTGCCTACACAGTTGCTTTTTGTGATTTTTGGCTTTCTCTGATGCATATGTTTGAGCATAGAGAAGCTAATTGGGTTGGAGTTTGAGATAGGTTATCTAATGACCGGCCATGTTTATAATTATTTTGACCTACTCTAAGAAGCCGGTGAGATGACCTAACTGTGACTTGGCATCAAAAGTGGTAGCGTTAGCTATGCAATAAGTGGTGGAAGATCATATTGGGGGAGATGCAAGTTCTGCTGAGAAGAAATTTGGTATAAAAGTTTCCTACGAAGGAAGCATGAACAGAGAGTTAAAGTTGCAATACTGAATAGCCAAAAGACATAAGAGCTTTACTTCATGTGCTCAGAACTTGTCAAATCCTAACAGGAAAGCTGCAACCTGAGGCATTGGAATGTGGCTGAGTTGAAAATGAATGTAATGAAATCTGAGCTTGTGCATCGTGATATTAAAAGTTATTTAAACTTTTTCCGCATCAGATGAGTGGTGTACCAGAGGAAAAGCTTTTGCCTCACTAGGGAAGTGCACTAAAAGCCTGTTCAGAGTATTACGTGATCAGGATCTCTACACATGGAGGGAGATATTAAAAGGTCTTCCGAATGTTAAGACACATTGAAATCGACAACTAGTTTCAACTCCATTGTAATGGAGAACTTTATTCGCTTGCAGAAGGTCAAACTGCATATGTTAGGTTTCAAGATAGCCTCCGGATCCTATCATGCATGTTTTGCACTTGAGAGATATAGTTCGAAGCTCAGTTGTTGCAATTGAACCTACAGATCTAGACAGGACGTAAATGATAATCATTTTGTTCCAGAAATAAATTCTTATATATCTATTCACTGAACAAGTTTCTTAACAGCGATACACGTTTGATAACGATATAAAAATTCTCTTTCTAGAACATAAATTCATTTGATAACGACACGAAATTTCTCTCTTTTACGCTCTTTTTTGACCGACGGCGGCGGGCAGGCGGGCAGCGGACGGTCGACAGGAGGCCGGTGGGGGGTGGTGGCGGGAGGTGAGGGCTAGCAATAAGAAGAGTTTTTATTTATCTTTTTGTTCCAGACATAGATAAGTAAACAAAAATTATTTTTTATTTATGCTCCAAACCTATTTCTTGATTAAAAATTTGTTCCAGAAATAGAAAATTGAAATTGCGTTACTAAATGGATTTATGTTCGAAACCTATTCTCGGAATAGAAAAATAGAGAAACAAAATGGCTATCATGCGCACCCTAACATGATAACCATTCTGTTTCCCTGTTCTTGGAAACGGGTTTGGAATAAAAATCCGTTTGGCAGCGCAACTTCATTTTTTTATTTATTTCCGAGACAAATTTTTAGCTTAGAAATAGGTTTGGAACAGAAATGAGAAGTAAATTTTTTTTTTTCTATTTCTGGAACAGAAACAGAAATAATAACTCTTCTTATCGCTCGCCCTCGCAGCCCGCCGCCGCCGCCCGCCAGCCGTCTGCTGCCGCCGCGAACAAAAATTTAAGAATAACTTATCAAACGAATTTCTATTTTGAAAACATAAATTTTGTGTCATTATCAAATGCTACTTTTTACTTAGAAACTCGTCCATAAAATAGAAATAGATTCAGGCCAGAAATTGGGCCGGAGAAGAGAATAGTTTTCATTCGCACCCTAATCACTCTCATTATAGGTACAAATCATACTCGAACTTCAAAATCAGAACTTCGAATTACATTCTTAGGTGAAAAATTACATGTTGCGTAACTTATGACTTTAAGATCTGCCATGCTAATTATACGTGCGCCTGTTCCTGTATTTTGAACTCTTAACTGAGCTTTACGTTGTCAAGTCACATGCAATAATTGTAAGGGTTATTTGAATTGGAAAACTTGCTAATTACATTATAAGAAGGTGACTACAAAATCTGGTTGCACAAGCGAGGTTGAATTCCAAGTACTGTAGGACGAAAAGGAAGTATAAACGCTCGAAATATGAAAACAATAAGAAACAAAAGTTAAACGAATCATATCTCTGCATTTAGCGAGCGGATCTCTCCTAGACTCCAAGCAGATAAAGTTCATTGAGTTTTCAGTTGGCACTTGGCAGCCACAACTAGTACGTGCACAAGGACATGGGAATCCAACACCACAAGCTTCAACATCTTCCTACTCACCACCTGAACCGCCTGTGTTGGATGTTTGCTAATTTTGTCCTAATGACTGAGCTCATATGGGCCTGTCTTTCCAGATCCATCCTGCATATTTACGCATATGTACAAAAATATCTTGGACATGCCTGAATCTTTCACTGGACGCACGTACGCGATAGGTAATAACTATATTGTTGAAGAGGTGGGTGATTCTTGTCTTTTCTTTTCAACACAATGCATGTGATGCAGAATCTCACCGTCTCTTTGAATAATCAACAAGTTTTTATTTGCATTCACTGTTTGCTGCAGACAATACCTTCTCTTGGACATCCGTGGCATATTCCTTCTAAGATTTTGGCTTGCCTTTTGATAGTTTTACATGTTTGGATGTATGTGATCAACGAGGAGGAGGAGATCTTGACTTTGCTCTTTGTTTTTAGTGCTTTTATGTAATTGAAAAGGTGTTGCTAGGTCTATTGGTTTTTCATTACAACAGAGAATGTGCCAAACTATTAGCGGAAGCAAAAACTGCAGCAGTTAAGAACTTGCATTCTTCCCAATAGGAAATGGCAATAATTCATGGATTTACCATGAAGGTAACAATGGTTATACATTGTGAACCGATCCTCTAAGGCGAAATAGGCACAACGAAAGAATAATGGATTGGTCATCTATAATGTCAAATAAGGACGCTACATTCTCCGTATAATCAGTCATCCATGTTATCAAATAAACCATTTTTATTGTTGGTAAATTTGCCGAGGACCATAGTCATAGTGATCCTACCGTTCAACTACTTTAACACACCATTTCATCATGTTGTTACGCCCACCTCTGTCTTCCGGTGCTTGACCCCATGATTGCCAATCATAATCTTGGTGTGTGTACGTACAAATCGTGAGGGCCTTGAAAAAAGAGATCGGTGACCGCATATCAACCTTGATCTTTGGTAGCAGTACAAAATTTGCTAAAGAACACGCTTGTCATTTGAGCAAGGACAAACACTTGAGCGAGCACGAACACGGTTGTCACTTGTGCAACTCCTTGGGGTTATTAAGGGACAGAGAGGTTAAGGCTTTGTGGATTGTAGGGTTTAAGAACGAGGGTTTTATGGTTTAAGGACTGGGATTGCAGGAATGCTAATTGGTTCTTTTCCATCATGAAGCATCGTATTGAGATGCAAAGTTTCCTGTTTCAGCGGTTGCAAAGTGGCATAGAGGTTAATGTGTAAGAAGGAAAATTTGGTATTTTCCCGAAAACTAAACCCACGAAATTAGACACAAAAAAAAAGCTCAAGAAGAAATTAGATTGAAATATGCAGTTCTTCTGGCTGAATTGAAATAGGCAGTAATAAGATTTGGTTTTTCACGGTTCTTTTGATGGTTGGAGTGCCTCCAGCAACTATGTGCTGATGCTTGAGATGATCGAAGGACCTACATATACTGAGTAGACTCATCAGCACCAGTAATTGAACACCATGAAACTCTCGGATCTTTTCTACATGTATGAATCACAAGGGTAATTCCAAAGAATTTAGGTCTTCATTCTTGAATTTCGTTGGCTAGATATAATTGGACTTATTGTTGGGCACTCGAACTAAAGGCCACATTTGGCTGATTTAAACATCAACAATGCCGTCGGGGATTAAGATACACAGCTTGTTTGCTTACCCCCATTGCCAGACCACTTACTCCCAAAATCTAACAGAAAATTTAGTTTCATGCAGCAAACGCAGTAACGAGACGATCTATTGAGATGTATTCACGTAGTACACGCACGTAAATACAATGGGAGCACATTGACCGACGAGACGACGATCCGTGGAATCGCCTTTGATGTGTACAACAACGCTCCTGTCTTCGCACAAAAATTACACAGAGAAAGAACAACCATGTCGCTATCTCCTGAATAGAATTTGGCTGGACAACCATCTATAAATAGCATGCTCTTTCCTTGGTTAACCAATCAACCCCTCTCTTCTCAGAGTATCTTTAATTAGGAACATAGAGTTCTCAGAAGAGAGTAGCTAGAGGAGAGCCATGGCAGCTCATTCCTATATCTTCGTCCTGAGCTTGGCTCTCGTCTTTTGCGCCATTCCACAGGCAACCTTAGCTGATTCTGGGACTGCAACGTATTACACTGAATACGTCCGTACGTGTGCTCAAACCACAGTTCAGTTCAGTCCGCGCGCGGTATACACAACCATGCATTCGCATACTTCTACAATTGATCTGACCAATAGATTGTATAGGACTTCTTGAATGTACATTGTGAGTGGATGGTTTTTCTTTTGACAGGCGAAGATGTGATCATGTCATATGAAAATAATTAATAGTGAGACCAGTTAGTAAGCTGGTAAATTACTCAGTTGCAGAATTAATGATCTACTCAAGATGTCCATGAACTCTACCGATTTGATCTTCGTTTTTTTTTTTCTTTTTCAACTAAATGTTTGTTCTCGGTCTCTATCCTTTCGCTGTATAGCCTCCTCATGTTATGGGTTCGACACTCCGGGCGGGATGATAGCTGCGGCCAGCGATGAGTTTTGGGAAGGTGGGGCTGCTTGCGGGAGGACGTACTCGGTGACGTGCACCGGTGCCACCAACCTGGGCGATCTTCACCCGTGCACCGGCGAGTCGGTGGTGGTGAAGATCGTCGACTATTGCCCGGCGGGGTGTCGCGGCACCATCGACCTCTCGGAAGAAGCTTTCAAGTCCATAGCCCACCCAGCTGCCGGAAAAATATACATATCCTACGACCGGTACGTCTATCTCATGCACGATCTCCACGATTGTTATCAAGGACAGTTTTAGCGTACTCGACAATGATTCTCTTCGGTTTTTGTTCATGAATCGCATACATGTCTTCAAGCACCAATGGTCCTCGGGCTTTCTTTATGCAGGCTTTCATGAAGTTGATTTCTTGAATTGCACCTGACAACGCCAAGGAGACGTCGCTTATTGTTATTAGGGTGGAACAGAGGAAGGGCTTGAAAATAATTTCGCATGGTTCTAAATTTCGCATGGTTATGTAATATGGTTGCTTTATCGAATGTAAAATCAGCATCACGAAACTGATGATGCCCAGGTCCCTTTTTTTTGTTTGTTGGTGTAACTGATGATGCCATGTCGATAAATAAAGTTGTGAACTTTCCAAGCGAGTATTTCCCCATTCCAACATATCTCATTTTTCCCAGTTTGGCAGAGCAGTTGTTTTTTTCTCTCTTTTTTGTAACTTAAAAGTTTCTTAGGATTTCGGGCAAAAGCCACCGAAAATCCTAAACTATACGCACTGTGATATATTTATCTTAAAAAAATTTTCCGTGACACCAAAAATTCCAAACTTGTACCCGTGTAACGCATTTACCTTCCGTCAAAGTTCTATCGATGGGAACCGGTAAAAATCTGTCTACATGAATGTTAGAAAGCAAATGGTGTGGACATGGCATTCACGTGAAATGAAAATGACATTGTTTTAGCTGAAAATTATTTAACAGAACTTTGACGGAGGGTAAATATGTTACATGAGTATAAATTTATGATTTTTTATGAAAATGTTCAGGATAAATATGCTACAGTTGACATAATTTAAGGTTTTTTTTGTCACTTTTTCCCTCAAGTTTTTATGTTGATGGATATTGGATACGTGGTGAAGACCGATGAGGTCAATCACGAGTCAGCGTGACAAGAGAGTAAAAAATGATAAAAAGAAGATCGATCGACGGATAGTGTCGCCTCCAACAACACGAGAGAACAAAACAACGTAGCTGTCTTGATGAGAGTGAAATTTGGCCCGCCCGATCATCCTTAAATAGCACATGCTCTCTCTCTTTGGTTTGCCACGAATCATTTTGTTATTAGGGAAAATGACACAAATAGTCCCTAAACTTTGACCCAATGTGCAATTTGGTCCCTGAATTTTTAATTTGTTCAATATAGTCCCTGAAATTTAACCTAATGTTCAATTTGGTCCCTGAACTTTTAATATGTGTTCAATTTAGTCCTTGAACTATTTGAAAATGTTCAATATAGTCCTTCCATTAATTCAAGTGCAGGGACTATATTGAACATTTTTATATAGTTTAGGGACTAAATTGAATACATATTAAAAGTTCAGGGACCACATTGAACAAATTAAAAGTTCAAGGACCAAATTGAACATTATGTTAAAGTTCAGGGACTACATTGAATAAATTAAAAGTTCAGGGACCAAATTGCACATTAAGTCAAAGTTCAGGGACTATTTGTATCATTATCCCTTGTTATTAATAACTACAAGTGATGAGGGTTATTATATTACTAACCCATTTATATATAATCGAGTTGCTTGACAGCATGAATCTTATTATGGTCAATGTTGGAAATATCACTAAAAACATCATCAACCTATTGTCTTTGTGTGGTAAAATTACCAAAATAGTCCTAAACCTATTGCAATTGTGCCAATTCAGTCCTAAACTTTTTTTTTTGGTCAATTCAGTCCTAAACCTTTTGCATTTGTGCCAATTCAGTCCATTCGGTCAATTTTGGCTCGCCAGCGCTGACGTGGACGCCGGCCGTCCAGCCGACGCTGACGTGACAATATTTTAAAATTTTTTTTCCTTTATTTTTTCCCATCTTCTTCCCTGGTCGGTCCGGCGACCGGCCAGGGGCTGAGGCCAGCGAGTTCAACCTCGCCGGCCATTGGCAAGACTTGCCCTAGCCAGCACTAGCGAGAGCAAGCCTCGCCGTCAGTGGGCGAGGCGAGGTCGAACCTCGCCATGGTCGGGCGAGGTCGACCTCGCCTAGCGATGGAGAGGTCTCGCCAGATATGGGCGGCCTCGCCGTTGCTGGGCGAGGTCGAGCTCGCCCAGCCATGGTGAGGCTTGGTGAGAGACCTCGCCGTCAATGGGTGAGGTTGAGCTCACCCGGCCATGGCGAGGCTTGACCTCGCCCATTGACGGCGAGGTTGCCTAGATTTGGCGAGACCTCACCGTCGCTGGGCGAGGTCGAGCTCGCCCGGCCATGGCGAGGCTCGACCTCGCCTCGCCCACTGGCGACGAGGCTCGCCCTTGCTAGTGATGACAAGGGCGAGTCTCGCCAGTGGCTAGCGAGGTTGAATTCGCCGGCCTCAGCCTTTGGCCGGTCGCCGGACCAGTCAAGGAAGAAGATGGAAAAAAAAAGAAAGAGAAAAAAAATAAAAAATAAACAATATATATTAAAATATTGCCACGTTAGCGTTGGCCGGCGTCCACGTTAGCGTCGGCCTACCAAAATTGGCAGGATGGACTGAATTGGCACAAATGCAAAAGGTTTAGGACTGAATTGGCACAATTGCAATAGGTTTAGGACTATTTTGGTAATTTTCCCGTCTTTGTGCTAATTCGTTCATAAACATTTCAATATGGCCAATTTAGTTTTAAACATTTTGATGATTTGCTAATTTAGTCATTTCGGTCAAAATTGGCCGGAAATCGCTGACATAGACACCGATAGTGCCACGTACGACAATTAGCGTTGACGTGGATGTTTTTTATAATTTTTTGATGATTTTTTTTTTAGTTTTTAGTCTTTTTCTATGAAGTTCAACGAGGGTTGTTGACCCTCGCCAACCCTAGGCAAAGGTCGATGACCCTCGCCGGCCACTGAGCGAGGGCCATGAAACCTTCGCCTGTAGTGGGTGAGGGTCGCGACCCTTGCCTAAATAGCCACTTGGCAAGGGTAGCGATCCTCGCCAGGCTTAGAAGAAAAAAAAGGAAAATTAAAACGAAAAGAAAACGAGAAAAAAAATTCAAAAATATATTAAAAAAATTATAAAATTGTCCACGTTAACGCCTACTGTGACATGTAAGACGGCTGGTATTCAAGTTAGCGATTTTTGGTCAAAATTAGTCGGAAGGACTACATTGGCAAATAGTCAAAAGATTTTGGACTAAATTGACTACATTAAAAGGTTTATGACTAAATTAGCACAAATATAATAGGATTAGTACTTTTTTGATAACTTCCCTTGTCCATGTTCATAAACATATAAGGTACTTTTTCCTTGTATAACCATTTTCACAATATATTTTTTCCATTCTTTATGTTCCATGAGGACTTTCTCAATATTTTTTTGTAGGATCCAACATATCATGACTACTTTGTGATGAGGTCTCGACATAGATTCTCCGTAATGGATTTATAGGGAAAATTGTCCAAAAAATCATAGACATATTCCACTTTTGCGAATTCAGTCCAAAACATTTTCATGTTTTGCTAATTGAGTCCATCTGATTAATTTTCGTCGGAAATCGCTGATGTGGATATCAGCCGTCCTACGCGGTATAGCTGGCATTGATGTAGACAATTTTTAAGAATATTTTAATATTTTTAATACTTTATTTATTTTATTTTCTCTTTCTTTCTTTTTCCTTCTTTCTCTGCCGATGACCGGCCAAAGCCAACTACCGCGACCCTCGCCGGCCTCAAGCAAGGTCACCCTCAGGATCTAGCGAGGGCCAGCCTCGCCTGAAGCTGGCAAGGTCGGCCCTTGCGGGCCTTTAGTGAGGCTCAACCTCGCTGGATCTCGGGAAGCATTAAGTCCTTTGCTCATATATTTGTGAAATAATGCGTACGTAGATCTAACGATTCTTGGAAATTTCATGATGTTGAAAACAGGAGTAAGATTTACATGACATATCTGGAAGATTTACATGACATATCTGGAAGAGGAATAACATCAACAAAACGAGTAAGCTATTCAATTTGATGCAGCGAAATAGGAAATTTGGCCACAACCGAAGTAAAGACAAAGAGGTTTAAAAAAGGGCCCCATTCTGAAAGTGAGTAAATATAAGTATTTTTGACAACTTAATCAATTAGTTAAATGGGGAATTCGGATACTGAACTGCCAGTGGACGGTATAAATAACTCGTATTAGGGTGGCTGGATATATCACAAAATCGAGATTAGCGAGGAATTAGAGCAACGATGGCAGCTAATCACATTGTCTTTGTCCTAACCTTATTTGCTCTTGTGTTTTCCTCCATTCCATTGGCGATTCTAGCTGATTCGGGCACGGCAACGTTTTACCAGCAATACGTTCGTAAGTTTGTCATGGTGCATCATGCGAAGGCGTTTCTATGTAGAGTTGAGCCGGGAGTTAGGGAGTTGAGCGCTCACATATTGATAGTTATCTGAAGTCTTTTGACGTTTTTAAGGGAAAATTATGCAGTATGCTGGAAAGTTGTTGCTTAGAAATGGTTTAACATTTTAATTCTTTGATGTCATATTCTAAAAGACAAGATGATTCTTAGCAGATCACGGTGATGAAAACAAGCGTTGTATGCTTGGTCTTTCTAAGGTGTCTAATGGAAGTTGTTGGCGTGATCCTTGTTTTTTCGCTAATCAATTGTATCGTCAAATTCTTCGGTTGCACAGCTTCGGCATGCTATGGAAACCAGCCTCAGGGCACAATGATAGCCGCGGCGAGCGACACTTTTTGGGCTGGCGGGGCCGTCTGTGGGAAAAAGTATCGGGTAACGTGCACCGGCGCTGCCTACGCAGGTATTCAGAACCCGTGCTTGGGCAGGTCGGTCGTGGTGAAGATTGTCGACCATTGCCCGGCCGGGTGCACCGGCTCCATTGACCTCTCGAAAGAAGCTTTTGCGACCATCGCGAACCCAGTTGCTGGCATAGTAAAAGTGACCTATGATCGGTAACTGCGAGATGAAATCTCTTGATAATCAACAACGATTTTAATTTGCTGAATCAGTTATCACACTCGAGTAATGATCCTTCGATTCTTCACGCAGGCTTTCATGAGGCTCTACGAAGACGATAAGCACCCAGCAACATAGACGGATGGTTGTCACATTCTAACATGGTGAATGAATGTAGGGCTAGAAATGTTGATTCTAGCTATACATAAAATTTGTCGACGTTCTTGTGTGGGGAATAAAATAAGTATTTTATATATTTTCGCATCCTCAGAGCTACCATTCCCAATCCTAATGTTTTAGAGGCAAAGATATGCATGTGCCTCTGATTATCTGTCTCTAATTGATATGAATTTCGTACCTTTTTTTAAGAATTGAAGTTGGAAAAAAAAAAGGGGGGGGACTCAGAGTATAAAGTTAAAAAAATGATTCGCAATCAACAAAACTTAAAGTAAGAAGATTGTGTGATTATATGGGATATTCGATATTCCCACTTTTACTTTAAATTGTGGGAAAAATTGTCTAAAAAGCCCTAAACGGTTAACTTAGTTTTAAACCTTTCAATTTTATCAATTTAGTCATAAATTTTTTTACAATTTATCAATTTACTCCTCCCGGTCAATTTAGCCCGGAAAATGCTTACGTAGATACCCAGTCAGCGCCAGTCATCCTATATGGCCGGACCGGCAGATGGCTGACGCTAACGTGGACACCAAAGATCGAAACGGTGCTATTTTCTCAAATTTTTAAAAAAAATGCCCCTAACGTTAAAAAATCCCTCAATGTAGCTCCAAAAAAAAAACCCTCGCCAAGCTCTAGCCGAACAGTTTCCGTGTTTTTAGATTTGGGTTTTTTCAGTTGAAAATCTCAGTTAGGGTTCTTTAGATTTGCGATTTTTCTCAGTTAGGGATTTGAACGATTACGAATCGAACAATCTCACTCAAGCCCAAGTTGTTCTTTTGTCAAATCGGCTCCCTCATCCATCCCAATGCCTTCGTCCAAACCCAACGTTTGCGGGATAAGGACACTAGAAATGCCTTAACTTTTGTACGGCGCTCACTTGAGTGCCATAACTTTTTTTTGACTCACTTGAGTGCCAAATATCATTTGGCAGCCGGAAAATCTGACGTGGCTTCGCCGGAGCTGACATGGCTTCACTGGAGCTGACGTAGACAATATTTTAATATTTTTTTTGAATTTTTTTTATTATTAATTTTTTATTTTTGCAAAAAAAATTTCAATTCCGGCGAGGGTCACCGGCGACCCTCGCCGGCTGTGAAGGCCTCGCCCATATTGGGCGAGGGCCACCATGCCCGTGGCCGCGAAGGCGGTGGGCGAGGCCGCGATGGCCTTGCCAAGGGCTTTCGCGGCAGCGGGCGAGGCAACCTCGCCGGATCTGGCAAGAGCCTTCGCCGCCGCGGGCGAGGCGGCCACGCCGGATCTGGCGAGAGCCTTCGCCGCCGCGGGCGAGGTGGCCTCGACGAATCTGGTGAGAGCCTTTGCCGCCGTGCCCGCGGTTGGTGAGGCCACGATGGCCTCGCCAAGGGCGTTCGCGGTCACAGGCGAGGCGGCCGCCGGCAAGGGTCACCGGTGACCCTCGCCAACCTTGAAAAAAAAAAAGAAAAATAAGAAAGAAAAATAAAAATAAAAATCTAAAAAAATCCATGTCGGATGAAAAATTAATTAAAAAATACACGTCAACTCATTCGCCGGAAATGGCACTCAAGTGATCTATTTTCGCCGGAAATGGCACTCAAATAATATATTTTACTCTGATGTGGCACTCAAGTGAGCCAAAAAAAAGTTATGGCACTCAAATGAGCGCCGTACGAAAGTTATGGCACTCCTAGTGTCCTTATCCCTAACGTTTGCATAGCTTGGACTTGGATATAGGGGTGATCGGTTCCCGGTCTAGTCCGGTTCCATCCAGAAATCGGGAACCGGACTGGAAGGACCGGTTTCGAAAATTGGGAACCGTGGACCGAACTGATTGGTCTTGGGATCGGGCATCGGTCACTTATTTTAGACACTTGGTTGAGGGTCCTTCTTTTTTGGAACCTGTCATTGCCCTTGATGATCTAAATCAAATATGTTGACCTAGTCTGACCTGCATAAATTTAGAGGGGATGGTCTAGTCACTTCCTTCTATTTTTGTGCTGTCAAGGGCTATTTCTTTTCCTTGTAGTTCATTTTGTTTTTTCCCTTTTTTAAAGACTCAAATGCTTCTTTTGTCGTTCAACCATGTGAAATTCGATTGGAGCCCATAAAAGAAACATGCCCTTATGAGAATTGGAGCATATTCCATTGCAGTAAACGCCATAAGCCATGTAAAGTCTTGTCATTTGGCAAAAAAATGTAATTCCTATGAGCCTCTTCTTGATGATGGTGGATGAGCCCTTATATATATATATAGTTGGTCCGGCCTGATTCCTGGGAACCGGACCGCCCGAATACCGGTTTCACTTTTAGGAATCGTGAATCGAACTGCACTCTTGGGAACCAGACCAAACTGGCCGGTATGGTCCGGTCCAGGCGATTCCCGATCTGGTTGGTCCGTCTTGTTCACCCTTACTTGGATATGCTCTAATAACCTCAGTTCATTGCTCGACTGCAGTTCGTGGCCGACAACCACATTGTTAAGGTAAGCTCCTTTATGCTATGGTTTAATGATTATGATATCAAGAATCTTGAAAATGATTTGGATGAAAAATCGTTCGTAGTGGAAGCCTTGCTAGCGATATAAAAGTGTTTTGACGACTTGATCATTAGTTGGGGACAAATCATTGTTTCATCCTCTCGTCTATACCTCTTGGTTGAAGTGTCTGCTAGCTATTTGTGAAAATGCCCAAGCGAATCTACATCTATAAATCTAAACATTCATCACATATCCAAATCATAATGAGCACATTTGATTCATTCGTTTACTCTCGTTTTATGAGATTTGAATCCGAAACTAAGAATATTTGTTTCTCTATTTTATGTGCTATATTTTGTGGCCTTCAATGGTGGTTCCCGCTAAGAGATATGATATGGATTCATTGATATGCGTAGTGATTTTCTGGTGAACTTCGCACTAGTCGCACCCCAACTTCTCTTATGTTCTTGTACCACGTGTCTCGGTGATTTATGACATGTATACATTGAATGGTTGGAAATCGTCATGGTGGACGGTGGTGGTGACCGGTGATTCCGGCGGTGGCTTTATGAGTAATTTGATGCTCACAACAATCACTAAAGAAAATACTTGAAGGGTACACTTTCTAATTGTGAATGCATTTGAATTCTCTTATAGCATCTGTTCATGTTGGAATTGTTCCTACTGGAAGCGTTCATCTGATAGCATCTATCCATCATATGTTTGCTTACTGTCTTGACCATTGGAAGTGTCCCTTTGGATTTTTTTTAATATTATGCTATCCTCACTTTTTCCCTTGGAGATGGTAAAATCACAAAAGGAGACTCTGATTTTGGAAGCATAATAGCAAATGCATTAGAATTGACAGTGACGTGTCATTGCAAGAAGAGGTTAATGAATTCATGAAGAGATCGGCCAATTCGTCACAATAGCTGATGTCGATCCCTCCGATGAACAACAATACATCCGTGTTTTGCTATTATGGCCTCAAATCTCCTCTACGAACAGCAAGGATAAAGGACAATCAAAGAAGACGATACCAATCATACCATGGCTGCCCAAGATATAACCACAACAATAGAGGGGAAAGTTGTTTTTTCATTTGGGTTGATGGGGAAATTAGTCAATCGACAATGAATGCGTCCAAAAGTTTTCACCGGAGCAATGTCGAACAACAATCAATGTTGACACATAATGAGGATCATTATGTTGTTCGATGGATGCTAAAGTCAAAGTTCTGAAGGCACAACTGAAAGATGTGAAATAAGATTCGGCAAACCTAAAGAAAGAAAATTCTAGATTGAAGATAATATTGGTTGTGTTGTTGATGTTTATAGTAATAACACCATTTTATGAGTTTGTCATAGAGTGTGTTATTTTGAACATGTTTTGTATTCATCACCATGTTTGGTACATATATGTGCATCTGTTTATGGGATGAATGAAATGAAGGTTTTTTTGCAGTCTGAAAAGCACAAATGTTTGTGGCAATGTTCTTCATGATGTTTGAGTTTTCAATAGTCGAAATCCTATGTGGAAACAAATGATGCCTAAATCAGGAATAGAGCTAGGAAATCTCATGGCCTGAGTGACACATGTTTCAAAGGAAAAAAGAGAAGCTAACAGGGACAAAAGGAATCAATTTCTTATAACATACATGTTAACTAAAATATTTCTTTAGCAGTAAGCTAAGAAAAACATGGGGGCCACTTTGCTAGTTTTTCCTCTTATCCCTTTAATCAGGTTTCCACTGAATAGGAAAGTAATAAATTGTAAATATTATATGCATAATGTTGACACTATAAGGCATAGTTCTTGCGTCGATAAAATTTTCGAAGTCGGACCGATCAACTTTTAGTAGCATTTCTCATGGGTATTAGTCTTTGTTTAGTTCACTTTGGCAGCATCTCAATAGACGAACAATGATCAATGCATGGATAAAATTGAACATCAACTATCCTTCGAACACCTGCTTCAACTTAAGCATTTATTTTACTTGTTGTAGAATATGTAACAACTAGTAATAGTAACAACAAATGAACTCTAATTTATTAGAATGAACAAGAACATTTCATTGTAATAAAGAAGGGATTACGAGTACAGTACTTCACAGATCCCCCAACCAAGTCAATGAGTCATCATCAAGCCAAAAAAAAAGAAAAACTCACAACACACTTCACTGAACCAACCTGTCATCAACAAACATAAGCATGTTTCATTGCAATAAAGAAAGGATTATAAGCACAGTACTTCAACGATCCTATAACCAAGTCAATGAGCCAAAAAAAAAAAAAACCCACAACACTACTTCAATGAACCAACCTATCATCGACAAACAAAAATATGGGCCATCATGCTACTTCATTGA